GTGCTACATGCGGCCGGAATTCTATGAGAATTTGCCTCCACTTGTTGTCTTCTTCTCTCAAGGGCTAGTTGTGCACTTTGTGTCTGTGGTGAGTTCGTGTGTGCCTGTTGAAAACGTGCATCTTTGCAAGAACAATGAACTGACTTGCTTTTTCTTCTGTGTTTGATCAGGTATGGCCCCTCTACAAGTCCTATAGGCCACACCTTGGTAGCTACTTCAATTGCGGCGGCAATGGAAATGAGAAGACTGATATTCAAAGTCATGCTACATTCCGAAAGCTGTTGTCTAACAAAGAGATGATGGCGAGGTTCAAACTCTTCTCGGTATACCTATGCGGTTTGTCGTGTGTCTCCGGTGCCCCTTTTACATTTTGTAACCACCATCTCTCTATCAATGTTAGGCAAAGTTGTTTTGCGTCGAGAGCGTAAGCCTTATAGAAGCCGTCATTCAAGTCCACGAATCCATAACACTCGAACTAGATAAGTCCGCTGCTACAGCGGGATATCTCGATATACCAACAGCAAGATCATTCTCTCGCAAGATATCGTTAACTTTGCCATTATTCAAGACTTCATTTCATGACAACACCGATGCAGACCACAACAGCAACACTAGCGAAAGTCACAGCAGCAACAACGTTGACCAAAGCCGCAGCAGCAATAATATCAAGAATCGGAGTACATCTTGTACCCAAGATCCTACAATACCACCGGCATTGGATACCGAATCCGGGCTTCTTTCCTCAACATCGGCTTTCGGACCAAAGCAACGAACTCCATCGGTCGAATGCAGGTCGAAACAAACTCTCTTGGCAGTGGAGGCAGCCCCACGGAGTATATCAGTCGGGACTGCTCAACCAAACCCTCGAACACTATCAGCAGAAACCCCACCACCTATGAGACCACGAACACTATCCTACCAAAAACCACAACCGCAACCACCACCGACAATCCAAACCAACGAGCCAATCGCACACAATTTCATGCCAGACATGCAACACATTGTTGACACGTACATCCAACCAGGTGCTTTGTTGGAAGTAAACGTGCCATGGCGGTTTTCCAAACCTATTCTGGATGCATTTGCGGTGTATGCTACGCAGGGAGGGCCTGCACCCTGCATGAATCTTTTTTTGCCAGTAGTGAAGGATGTTGCCAAAATGCTGTTTGAGAATGTCTATCCAAAGTTTGTGGCTACGCTGAGTCCACAAGAGCAGAAGCATCTCTTGAGTGTTGAGGAGGTGCCGTACTTTTTCTTGCAGGTTGCTGCAACGGTGTAATTGTTGGATTATTTCTTGGTCGTGTTGGTGTGATTTGGTGGATGTGATGGTTTAGGTGGTTTTATACATAGTGTACATTTACAAAATACATACTTTATATGGTCACTCGTCACCAGCTGCCGTAATCTCGGTTTTGCGAGTCGATTTCTGAACGACCTTCCAAGTTGTTTTATAGATGCCCATTTTAAATGGGAGCTTTCGGCGACGCGAGAAAGGACGCGGGTGCTCGTCGAGTTTCGTCCACTGTGTCGAGCTTTACTTGGAATCTCGTCACGTTGCTCCCACGCGTGAAACTCAGCAACAAGGACAACCGCTAATCTGAGCTATGGTTTCGGCCAAGTCATTATATGTAGATGACGTACCGTATGAGCACCCTCCGCCCCACATCGACTATGAGACTTTGTACGAGGAATCGCCAACGATCTCAACCAGCACTTTGGACTCTTCAAACACATCACGCACAACGATGCCGACACTGGCCGAGCTAGGCCTTACACGAATAGTAGATCCAGAACCCATTAGGAGCTCCTTCCGTCTTGTATTAAACCACGAGCGAGGTGAAAGTCCAACATTAATCGAGGAGCAACCAACACCAAGCAGCAGTAGAGATCACCTATGGTTTCGACACGGCCCGAGACCAGAATCTCTCCGAAGGTGGCGGGACCGTCAGTTTAGATATGCAGACGCTTCACGCTTTAGTACATATGATCTCGACTCGGAGTTTGCGCAACCAAACTCAACTCAACCGATAACCACAACATCATCTAGTACCCATGAAGGCGATACCTTCTATAGACGTGCTCAGACTGCTTCTATACGTAGAATAAACGGTGAATCGGACGGTCTTGAAGACTTGCGGGTTGATCAAGGGCGACGCAATAGGATGGCATCTGAAGATCCAGATGGATGTGGTTACCGAGCAAAGAAACCACGGTTTCAGGATGGTGATGAAGATGATGTTGGAAGATGAGGGTTGTAGTAATCTATTTGTCTGGCCGTTAATTTATAATTGGATAAACTCATAAAGTATCTTCCCACGTGTTTGATATCACCGATCCCAACGTTAATATTCTCATGACGTGAGGACATGACTGTTAAGCTGATCTTTGGCTGCCAACCTTTGATTTTGTTGAACAGATCGTGGCTTGCGTGGATTTAGGCCATTGAATTCTTCGATGGCAGTGTAGAGGCTCAAACTAGAAGAAGACTGCGAACGGACGAGTAAAAGAGTAATTTTGGCATCGTCAAGTAAGACGATCAGCTAGGTGCGGTTAACTTCTGATGATCTGGGTCGTCATATAATGTTTCTTCTTGTTTGTTGCCATTCTTGCACAATAATCTAACATCTTGCCATTGCTTGTTCGTAGTATGTAGCTATGAGACAATTGAAAGATGAACTAGTGCCAAGTTTATTAGAACACAAGGACGCAGAATATCACGTGCTTTGCAGGTGTCGATCAATTCTATAATCCAAACACCCTTTGCTCATACAAAATCGGATATGACTTGATGCACTGAGAAACCAGTGTATCTCCTGTTCGAACTTATGAAACAAATTCAATCGGACCTCGCTAATTCTGGGAAACTTCTCATATTCGACATACAAAGGAAACCTCAAACTCCCAGTCTGGCGCCTTAATTCAGAGAAACTAGCTCAAGTCGAATACTTGATACTGCGGCTAGGCCTAGCCGATTGTGCGAATCAACGCCTTAGTGGTCCATTCACACGACATGGTGTATCAGGTGGCGAACGAAAGAGAACGGCTATTGCAATGGAGTTGTTGGAGAAGCCGTCCTTGTTGTTTCTTGATCAGCCTACGACTTCATTGGATGCTTTTAATGCTCATGAGGTTATCAAGGTTGTGTCTGAGGTCGCTAACCAACAGAGGGCCAGTGTTTTGTGTTGAATCAAGTACGTGAAGTTAGAGATTCTATTTTGATGGATATGTTCTTTCCTCCTGCGATTTAACGTTTATCTTTGTTTTCGCAACTGTATATCGTCGTCCAGAAATCCTGGACTATTCGATAAGGTCTTCTTCTTCTCAGACGGCAAAGTAATGTTCTTCGGCAGCATTCAGGAAGCCTTCACACACTTTGAATCTCTCAACTATCCATTCCCACCACGAGTAAACGTTGGAGACTATATAGTCGACATGTCGACACTAGACAATGCAACACCAGAACGCAATAAGAATAGCGTTGAGCGTAAACGCACTTGGAAGAATCAAAGGGCCGAATCATTTTCCACCTTTGAGAGTGATGCGGTTGCCAGTCAAGTTGAGCCGTGGAGATTGAAACCTCCAAGAACGATACTGAGATACTTCAAACGGGTGTTGATTCTAGCCCATCGTGAATATGTCTTGATATTTGTGATATTTCGAGATTGGAGGGTATTGAGTGTGTCTGCTGGAGAGGCTGTTATTGTCGGTAATAGAACTGGCAGAAAGCACGCTGCCTCAACATGGATTCTCCGATTTATCTTTTTTCTGTTTGGTTTAGTGCTTCGATTCGGCTGGCTCGTCTACGGGCTTTCAACCTCTCAAAGATCTATAACAAGCCGGCTTGGTCTCCTATTCCACCTCACTATGGATCGTACATTCTCACCTGCTGTAACTGTAGCTCGAGTGTTTCTGGAACAACGACCTGTCGTTGTTGGAGAACGAGTCAAGAATCAATGCACGATTCCTGAGTACTTTTTGGCTGAAATGGTATCAGGACCCACTGTACAATTTGTTCTGATTAATCTTATTTGGTGTTTGTGTGTGTATACACCAACAGTTGTGGATGACATATGAATTCAAACTCTCATTCCCTTGTTTTTTCCACGAACAGGCTGAATTACAACGAGTATGGACAAAAGCAGCTGCATTTCTAGGAGTTGGTATGTTACAAGGCTTTGCGGGATTGGATCCGTAGCTGCAAATACTGCTATTGCTCAAGTCCTTGTGTCATTGATCTCAAGCATGCTTGCCATGTTTGCAGGTATGTGTATTCGATACGACTGTGATCTCGTCTACACTCAATAAATGCATAGAATTTTTCGCATTTTCTAGGATTTCTCATAACAGTCCCCGAAACGCCACGAGCCTCAGACATATTGTGGGCAAAACGACAGTAATTCTTTGCCTTCATTCGACAGAAACAGGATGGATATAGTCTTTCCAGTAGGATTTTAATAATTTAGAGACTCCCAGCTGCTTAAAACGCCTTTGTCCATGTATGGCAGACACTGCGCGTCCTGCAAGCCAGGTCGACGGTGTAGAGGTGGATCCCGATACACGTAAAGCCATAAGATAATCGAATAATAACAGCCCAGCTCCTAGTACAGTGCTTTTTTTCATGGCGATAAAACCAGTACCACTTTGATGATGAAAGCTTGATCTTTTGTGTTTGCACCGCCTTTTGTTTAGTTTTGCAGTATCAATAGCTATCAAAATGGTAGCAACAACGAGGATTGTGTTCTGCGCTGTAGTATGAGAAAGGGCAGTGCCATCGCTTGCATTTTATCAACCGATTTTTGGAGGTTTGCTGGTCAAGTACCGGATTTATACTAATCAAAATACAATTTGCACGCGTAGAAAGAATAAAATCTCGTTGGAGCTAGCTGGCCAATAGATCGTACGCATGACGTCGATCACGTTCTGGAAGCTCAAACCACATTCACGACTGCGATCCGCAGTATTAGAATGAATACCATGTTTCCTTTACAATGCATATAAACTTATACACTCTTCAAATGCTTGGTAAAGAATGCAAAGACCTTTGACCAAACTTGATTGGCAAAGTCATGATCATACTCTCCAGCCATTTTCAGTTCACGCCTCCTCTCTCGACTCCATGCCTCGTCATTCATGAAGGCATGTCCATACGAATCATAAATGTAAACATCAAATTCGTCCTTGTGTATTCCTTCAGCGTGTCGTCCACCCTTCTCTTTCACGGCCTGCGACAAGCAAAGAGGCGTTGCATGAGCTCATATGACAATATGGGCCGGGTTTGCACTGGAGCAAAAGGGACATGTAATCAGTTTACCTTTTTCCATAGTTGTTCAAGTTTTTTCGCCGTTTCGATATCTGAGAAGCCTTTGTGGGCATCCAAAGCTCCAAAATGTGCTTGCACAGGTGTCTTGAGAGGTATATGAGAGAGGTCGAATGTCTTTTGATCAGGCACTCCATAAAATGCAACGCAAGCGTTTAAGGGGTGTGGTTTTCCTGTTAGGTATAAGAAAGGGTGAGCTCGTTCGCGGCAGGCCTGAAAGTTTTATGCTAGCATTCTCAAATACCAGTATATCGTGATGCTAAAGCCTAGAGTCAAAGAACAGTGAGTGCGAAAGAACCGAGAACACGGCAGCAATCAACACTTTACTTACAAGAGTCAGCGCCGACCCCATACAAAACCCAATACATCCGACTTTTCTTATATCAGATGGCGGCTGATTATGTGACTTTTCATCACGCAAGTCCTCCACTAACTGATCAAGTTGCTGAATAGCATTCTTCCAATCCAGGTTTCCCATCAGATGCGAAGCTTCTTCAGCATTCAGACCTTGCTTTCCATTGTACATGTCGGGCACGACGACGATAGCACCAGTTCCATTTGCGATTCGTTGAGCATGACTCTTAATTTGGTCGTTCACACCCCACCATTCTGTAGTCATGTTGGAGAAATCAACGATTGCAATATCTGTTTGTAGAGGATCAGCTCGTACCCTGTAAGCAGATAATGGCAGGGATTGGAGCGAGAGAATCAGATGCTAATGTTGCAATGTTAGCTCAGCAAATGTTTCCAAGCAAACAACACGATATGAGATGACACATGCTTACGACAGTAAAACAAATTCCTTACCAACTAGTGGATGTTCCAGCGTTGAATGAGGTTTGAATGTATATGTTTTCAAGGTCGAGGCATTCCGTGACAAAGAACGTGTCATGGGCTGATTTCTCCATACTGTCGCGCCAAGTGAAATTCCATATCTCGCTGGTAGAGTCATTTTGAATTCTCCCTATCTCTCTCTGATTTGTCTGAGATTCAACGCTCCTGCTTCAAGCAATGAGTCAAGATAGCAAAAGTGGAAGTGTTTTTGTAGTGTTTGAGAGCAGCGTGTAAACAGTAAGAGAACTATCAGAACGTGCCATATTTGACTCTCAATACCTCTTTGTTAACTTGGTTGGTCTAGATACCTTCTGGCATTGTTGGCGTTTCAATTGCTGTTGCAAGGGGCATCGCTGGAATTCTGGAATTGTGGAAATAGCCTTATAATCAGGTATGTTAATAATGGTACATCCATTAATCTACTGGCGCTCTTTTTGGGACCTTTGATGTTTGCACATGAAAGGCGCTCTTCAAATCAACTCTATCGAAAAGACGTTTTCCGACTACGTTGGTTTGAAGTGTTGTTCCAAACCTACCTGTCGCTTTCCCTACTTGACTAGAAGATATGACACGCTGGCTTCCTTGATTCCATTCTAGATCTCTTAGAACTCAAAGATCAAACCTCTACTTTTACAGGCAACAACTAGTCGATACCGACTATGATAGTGCCACACAGAGTTAACTGCACACAAATTACATAGCTGAACCCTCTACTCTGTCGGTATACTGATTCTGACAATGATGTCGCTCAAATCAATTGGAGATAAACTGTAGGACGTGCATTGTTTCTAGTTGCTGACTTTGAGTGAATCTAACCAAAATCTCGATAGACCAATCCCAATTCTCCTTGTTATTATCGTATGCACTCTCCTATTCCTGATCTCGTTTGACTTGGAGTCATCTCCAACAGGTATACAAGTCGCTCAATTGACCGAATTGACCATTATCACCACCGACAACACCGTCGCATCTGCATCACAAACGATGCTCAAGCCTCCTATAACGTGTCAGTCCAGTAAAACAAAACAGAGCTTCACACTCGCCAATGTACCTCGACAGATAACACTCAACGGTACCACCAACATCTTTACAATCACCATTTCATCGCCAAATCAAACGGCCGAGATAATCGATATGGTGGATTTCCCATTATTTGTGTTACGGCTCGTCAGTCCTGTGTCACTGCTGACGCTGCCGAGTTTGGGAGATACGTTGGCAGATGTTAGTATAGCTGGTAGAGTCAAATTTGTCGGATGGAATATCTCAAGTTATCTATATCAGCCTATATGGGAGGCTACATTCCATGGTGCTGTGCTGGCTCCAGCAGAGTATGGGTTGTTTGTGCAATGGGCTGGTGAGAGCATGGTTTGTTAAGACCATCCACTCGTCGTATCTGTCATTCTACAAACGGCGAAAGCTCCCGCTACCATATCAAACAGTGGTGTACAAGAACAGAGGCTACCATCATGTGGATTAGACTCTCTTTCGTCAGCAATAACCCAAGGAAAATGGAATCGTAACCAGTGGATGCCAGCCTCGTGTCGCCTAGAACGATATTCGCCAACTCAAGCATGTCAAGAGTTAAACGCTCGCAACATGTCCAAGATTGGTATAGTGGGTGATTCTTTGAGCAGACATTTCTTCAACAGTCTTGTACAATTCATGACGGGCAAGAGTCAGTCTGATGAGGATACATTTGATGCTCTGATTGCGGGAGCTACGGATCCGGAGATTCAAGAGAAATGTCGCGGTAGGCTATTTTTTTCTTTGAGCGTACTTGATTTTGCAAGTACTTCGAAGCGAATGAAGGCTTAATTATTTGCTCCCAATATTAGGCAAGAAAATATACAAGAACGAAAATTTCTGCAACGGCTATACAAGAGCCAGTATTGAAGTCTGTAACGCCAGTGTCTCCATCCTTTTGAAATCAGTTTACAGATTCACCTTTCTTGAAACCCCGCAAGAGCTTCAGGGGTTTGATGTGCTGGTTTTGAATGTTGGGAGGTAAGAAAAGCACACATTTTGACCATTCCGATGTGCTCATAATTTCACCAATCGTTTAGCCATGAATCATGGAATGACGAGTACACCAAACGAAAAACACACCAACTTGCAGTCCAAGTTGGCACACGTTACATGCAGCTCGCTACACAAGTGGCGTCCACACTTGCAATACCACCTACACGAATCATATGGAGAACGAATCCTGAAATGGCAAGATGCAAAACCATATCTTCTTCTTCCATCTTTTTGCTTTTTTTTGCTAACACAGATACCTCAATTGTAGGCAATTGCAAAGGGAGACATAAACGTCGAAGCATTCATCAGACAAGTATTCAATCGGCTCGCAAGTGCTATCCTGCCTCCGTCTGTAACTGTATGGGACATTGAGGCGATTAGTACAATTCGTTCAATATGAGGGTTGATATGCAGCATTATGGGATGGATTTTAATATGGAGTTAGTGACAGTTTTTTTGAATTATTTGATGAGTACATGACGATGGTCGTCATAAATTGAAGAGCTTGGATTTGTGGGGCTTTCTCATATTGAACAGATATTGTAGTATAGTACTAGTATTCACGCAAGAAATAATAAAAACAAAGGAGTAACTTGTTTCTTCAAATATTTGTGTTCAAGAATTCCCTTCGGTGTTGATTTCGTTTTTTCCAAGTCCAACTCCTCCCATAGTTTCAAAATGAATTCTCTTCATAAAATCGCTACATGAATCAAAATAATAACATTGGCTCGGTATTCATTTTCCCTGGCCGTGCTGCCACATCATGGTAGTCTTGCCAACAACGGATAGAGCATCCAATTTGGCAACATCTTCAGGCTTTAGACGCCATCCAAAGCATCTAGCATGTTGCACAGCTCAAATTTATTTGTGGAGCGAATAGAGTCTATGCCAATTGATCACAAGCCCAGCATTGTTGAAAAATCGTCCATAAAGCAGACGATGTATGGTCTCTGTAGGACCATGGACTTTTTGCAAGTATTTATCTTATTCGTAGCTCCACGAAGCCCGTACAGAAACGCCAAATCCTCCTACGTGAGTACGAGTGCGTTCATACTGAGCATGTAAATCCTCCAATCTTCAATGTGTCCAGGAGCCAAACGAGTAGTTTCATACCAATATCTCCATAGACGCGTTCGGCTACATAGAAACCTAGATATCAATTTCACAGCATCTACTGTGATGATTTCCAATCACGATTGTTTTTTTACCTGACGGTGGATTCTCATTTGAATACCTTGCAGTCCACCAATCCATTCTGAACAGAACAGAATACGCAATGACCACCGCGCCAAGTCTCTAGCACTTGGCAATCAAACCAGAGGTCTCTGGCACTCGTCGATGAAGGGAGAATTCGATTTGGTAGGAAATTAGGTGAATCGGTGTTTTGATAGGGTTTTGTGAATAGATTCGACTTTGAGTTCGACAAGTTTCGGACTCCATTAGCCCTATGCGTTGATGATTAGATGCGTTCTTTTTGGTGGCTTTTGTTTCGGGCGTTTGCATCAGCGGCAATTAGATGCGACGAAACTTGCTGGACCAGATGCAGCTTCAGCATTCGAAAAAGTCTGTGGCAATGCTATATACTGGTTGAAAACGAACCGTCAAACAAAAAAAAGGTGGACAAATGATAGCTTAATGCTAACCTTCCAATATTGATTCGATCATGTCCGGCAGCCTCTAAGCATTCAGAAGTATGGGGAGTGATACTAGCATGATCAAATATTTCAGAGCCTCCTTCAATGTAGGCGTGCTTTGACAATGAGTTGGTCAAACTTTAGCAAGCGATATTCCAAATGTCGGATTCACATGAGACATCTCCCACATTAAAAAGTCACCTCAACAGAAACATATACTCGAGCGCAACTTGTTTCAAACAATCTCACCTCAGCAGTATCGAAGAAGACAAACATTCAGTACACTGGGACCTGCACACGTCAAAGGAATCTGCAGGAGTGGTCGGTAAATGACAACTGGGAAGCGCCAAAACTCCAATTAGATGAGCCCCAAGACCATAATCCAACTTTGCGACAGTTCAAAAGTTTGGTGAAAGCGTATCCATTGCTCAAGTTTCTTTGTATTAACAAGAAGAATTTAAGGCATTCCAAACGTAAATAGATGGCTGAATTGCTTTTAAAAAAGGTTTTACCGCGATATCCTGGACTGCACCTTGGACGAGACTGATGCCACAACACAATTCTGTAAAGAGGGCGACAAACTGAGGCACACAGATCCGAGGATGAGGCTAGAAATTGTGGCTTGGTTAGTATAGGCTCCGTGATAACCAGCACACGTCAGCAAGGCAACAACTCAACCTTTATCTGCTCAAGTTTCCAAATTTACTGCACACGACGCAGGAGAGGATACAATGGGTCAGGCTTGCCGGTCTTGCCGGGCCGTGCGAAGGCCTGTTCCACATGACGACCTTCCAAAGCGCATTCCAACGGATGTGCAAGTTGTCAACTGGGACGACACGTTAAAGAGTCGGAAGCTGACTCCCATTGGAATTGTCTTCTTGTTTTGGTATATCTGGCGCAAATGCATGGCATTTACAACAAATTGTGCTCATTCCTTCATTTAATAGTCAGCAAGATACCGGAATGATCCAACAAATCGTTCAACGCCTCAAAACTTCCAAGCTTCTCGACGCAAATCTAGCCGTTGAAGACAGAGACAAGGTGTACGTGCAATTGGGGTCGGCAGATATTGTTCTGCCCTGTCTATCTCCCAGTTTTGAGGTGGGTCTTCTAAATAATGGTGAAATTCTTCGTCAATGTCTGACAATGTCGAATTTAGGATGACTTCCACTCTATGCAACTACTGGATTTTTGCTCTGATCGCCATAAAAATCTGGTGCCGATTCGGCTCAGTAACAAGCCTCTAGCTCGGACGGCTTTGAACGTAGCTGGCCTCTTGTACGAGGACTTTTCGAAATCAGATGTCCTTGACTCTGATAAAGCTTTCAATGCTTTGGCAAAGCAAATTGTCATGGTGTACAATTTGGCTTCCAGCCGAGAGGATTCCCCTGATTCCGATAGGAAATACGACATTATGATTAGTTATTGGTACACCGGAGCTTTTTTCAGTCATGCTTGTCAGCAATCTAAGTCTTTGTTTATAGCTGGGCACAGCAACCGTACATGTACAAGCTTCTGGAGCTTTTAAGAGGCTTGGGATATACCGTATGGGTTGATGTGGAAAAAATGGTGGGAAATGTATTTGAACGGATGCAAGGTGCTGTGCAGAAGTCCAAAGTCATAGTGTCATGCTTATCGCAAGCTTATGCAGTAAGGTGTGGTATGGATTTGAACGATGTTCATGCCCAACTCTGTCTTTCTTATAGAAATCGGTGAATTGCCAAAGGGAACTTTGTTACAGTGTGGACCTAAAGAAACCTATCATTCCCATACGTTTAGAAGCTGATTATCTGCCTATTGTCGATCTGATTGTGGCGGGACTCCCTGCCGCTATTCCGGAAAAGACCTTGGCTGGGGTTGAGTACGATGATATATTCATTCATGATCTGCAAGCTCTAATAGAACGCCAACTACATCCGTCGGGAAACGCCCTCAACCTGAAACGACAGAGTGAGCCAGTCATGAAACGCATTCAGCAAATGAATGAGTCCATGATCGAGGTGAAATCTGTCCTTCATCCCAACGAAACCTATAAGCAAACCATTGGTGCGTTGCAATTGCATCGTTTACCAAACACCAGAGACTCTGTTATTCGTGAAATCCGTCAATGGATGCTGGATGACGCTGGAGAACAATGCTATTGGCTAAATGGAGTCGCGGGATCCGGCAAATCTATAGTAGCAGCAGCAATAGTGAAGGAACTAGAAGATGCGAGAATTCCGGTAGTCCCGTTCTTTTGTAAATTCGACCAGGCTGGACAAGACGAAGTTAGGAGTCTCATTAGAACCATGGCTTTTGGCTTGGGTAAGTTACCTATCTCCGCTTATTCAAGATTTCGTAAATGATCTCTAATTCGTTCCAGCTCGAGCTCTACCGGAATACTGTCTGCTGCTCCATCAGCTCTTTGCCACCTCGAAAACTTTTGGTGATGGATACACTGCCGAAACGTTGTTTGAACAACTGATCTTGAACCCGCTGAACGATATTCACCAGCCTACTGACCGCATGGTCATTCTGATTGATGCGCTCGACGAAGTGGGACAGACGGAAGAAGGAGGTAGTAACGGATCATTAGATAGACAATCCCTTCTTGGCCTCTTTGCCAATCCAACTCGTATGGCCCGTTTACCCAGTTGGGTAAAATTCATTATAACAAGTCGGCCTGAGGACGATATCGCCCAGTCTTTGACAAGGAGCTTTGCAACAAAACGTATCGATTTGGACGCTAAATATAACCAAGACGATATTCGCTTTTATATTACTACTCGGATGGATAGGTCGCGCCCACTTTTACCAAGCGCAGAGTGGGAAGATGTCATCAATATGCTGGTTATTAAATCCACAGGACTCTTTCTGTGGGCTACAATTGTATGTGAAATTCTTCGTAGATGTAGTACGGAACTGTATCTGCAACGGCTCTTGACTGACATTGATTCAGGCAATGCCATACGTGGGGAGACGGCAATGGACGACATGTTTGCTAGAGTCTTGCATCTCGCCATAGCCGACGAAGATAAAGAGTGGATTGAAGATTGGTTGGCATCATATAAAGCAGTTGTTGGGGTCATCATTTGTCTGAAATCATCACTGTCTGTGCACGCCGTTGCCTCGCTGGTATATAAAAATCCAGAAGAAGTAAGAAGGATAATTGCGAGAATGCCATCAGTATTTGAGTCGTGCATTCAAGATGATGGCACTCGCATGGTAGAAACCATTCGCATAATCCATAAATCCGTCGCCGACTATTTGACGGACAAGAATCGATGTCGTGATTTACGGTTCTACATAGACACTCGAGAGGCAGAAGGCGTCTTGTCGTCTCACTGTCTACAGATCCTCACTCGCGAGTTGAAGTTTTCAGCCACGACTAGCTTGCCTGATAAGGTGGCAGCGTTGATGGGCAAAGTCATTGGATCAACGAGCTACTTGGACTATATATGCAAGTTTTGGATGGATCATTTGAGCTCGGAAAACGTGGCCTCTTCAACACCCAACTCGCATACTGTGAACAGGTTTCTCAACGCACACGGAACTGCAGCTCTGCTAGCTACCCTAGAAAGTCGTAAAAGCCACGCATGTCGTATTCTGCTTTCAGCACGGAGCCCTCAGTCCGCCAAACTGCTGGTCAAGGAGGCCGAAGACTCACATTACTTCCCGGTGCCTTTTCTATGTCAGGCAGTCAGGAGCAATGATGCCGACACCTGTGAAGTCCTGCTGTCGTTGGGTGTTTCTGACATAAATTCCACCTCTGCGTCAGACTATGGGTGGACGCCTCTTGCAGCGGCTTGTGCATATCACCGGCCTAAAGTAGTCGCAGTGCTCCTAAAGCACAATCCAGACTACCAAATCAAGGACTTCATGAGTAAGTGATTGCACCACACCATTAGGGGTGATGCCTTTTCATTCATAACTCAAACTCATTCTAGATAAGAATGCACTGGAACGCGCGGGAGGGGAGTGTTGGAATATGCTGAACGATTGGAAAGTCGAGAAGGAATTCAAAATGGATCTGGTACGTCCTTGTTCGGCAGACGTTTAACAGTGTGTTTTCTGGAAGGATACATTAAATCATCAAATGTAGGGTCCAGTGCTGTTAGCCGCACAGGCAGGAGATATTACAACTCTGAAGGCTGTTGGTATCCAGGCCGTTAGTGAGGCAGTTGATATTGGAAGTGGAAGAACTGCTCTACACGTTGCTGCCGACAATTCTCAAATCGATGTCGTGAATTGGCTTCTTGATTCCGGCGCTCTTACGGACACGAAGGACCAGCTTGGTTGCACTTCACTATATCTTGCTGCTCGTAAAGGACTCGTTGAGATTGTAAAAGCTCTCAAGGACCACGGTGCCGATCTAGACCAAGCCAATAACTTGAATCAGACCCCTCTGTTTGCTGCGGCGTTCAAAGGACATATAAAGGCTGTGGAATACCTTATCAGCATGAATGCTGATGTAAACATTGTTGCTGCAGATGGTCGTGATGCCTTGTTTGTGGCAGCTCAGAATGGACATTTCAATGTACTGCAAGCGTTGTCTAGTGGTTCTGATACACAAATTGACAAAACGGCCATTGGCCCCCCAAGTGGTCTTGCAGGCCAGACTCCGTTGTGGGCGGCAGCTAGCAACGGTTATTTGGAGAATGTAAAGTATCTGGTTGATGAGGGAGCTGATGTCAACGCTCAGCAAGCATCGGGACAAAGTGTGCTTTTCGCTGCAGTAAACAACGGGTCCCTAGATATCATTTCGTATCTTGTCGAAAAGGTGGGTCGTGTCAAGCATCTAAGTGGAACAAATCTAAAGTTATGTTGGCAGCTAAGTCATTGTTTTTTTTTTCGTCAGGGATCTTTAATTAATGTTGGAAATGACGAAGGAGTGACTCCATTGCTGCGCGCAGCCGCAAATGGACGACTAGACATCGTAAAGTATCTTAGTTCAAAGGTACTTTCCTTGTCGTGCGCAAACAATCTTGTCTGTCTGCGCTATAACCACCTTGTCTGTAGGGAGGAGACGTGCACAAAGCCGACAATTACCCCAACAATGCCATGTTCGCTGCTGCTGGGGTGACAGGCTACCTTCCGCTCGTCCAGTATCTCGTTAATCAAGGAGTGGCCATAAATGTCGTGAATCACGATCATAAAACCCCTGTATGGGAAGCCTGTTATTATGGCAGATTGGACGTTGTCAAATGCTTAATTGAGGCTGGAGGTGATTCAGCCATACCTACTAGCGACGGGATCACTCCTCTTGTTTGTGCAGCTTTAAATGGTCACCTTCCTGTGGTTCAGTATTTGGCTAAATTGGTATAAATATGTACCATGTTAATGCTTTTGATTGGCTCGAAAACTCACAGGTTTCCACGTGCTACACCAATGACTAGGGTATGGATATCGAGACACCTTCTGATTCTGGGATATCTGCTCTTATATTTGCAGCTGCCAAAGGCTACATTGAGACAGTAAAGTATCTTGTTGAGAATGGAGCAGCAATGAATCGAAAAACACTCGACGGCCGGTGCGCCTTGTTTGTTTCCTCAAATAATGGGCATATGAGAGTTATATCGTACTTGGTGCAAAAGGTAACTGACGACCGCCGCGACATCGAAGGTTAATTAACTTTTGTTGTGACAACAGGGATGTGATTTAAATATTGCTGCAAACGATGGAAGAACTCCGCTATTTGTTGCTGCTCAGAGTGGACGCTTGGAAGTTGTAAAGTTATTGATTCAAAAGGTGATAACATTGTTTTGAAGCAGTTTTGCCAAGTTTTATCCGTTGACCTCCTTTTGTACAGGGAGCTGATGTCAATACGGAAGCTAATGGAACCACGCTGCTGGACATTGCAACGCTTCAGGGTCATACTGAGGTCGCGAGTTACTTGAGAGCTATAACGGCCTCAGAGGTATAGACGACAGCCATGTGACGATGTATAGTAGTCAGGATCTAAATTATTGTTGCAAAACCAACGTGTCCCAACCCTTCTTAAGTTTTGAAAGCACCTCTTAATAAAATTGTAACAAGAATCAACAAACGCTTGCTTCAGTATTCAGTCCCCGCAAACACTAGCCATGTTGCCACATCATTGTGGTCTTGCCAACAAAGGACAAAGCGTCCAATTTGGCGACATCTTCAGGCTTTAGACGCCATCCAATACACCCAGCGTTTTGCATCGCTTGAGTCTATATGGGCATCAAAAGAGTTAGCATTTATTAATCACAAGTTTGTTACAAGTCAGAAGTGAAGAAACTAAGACAGACGGAACGTACCTTATTCTTTGCTCCAGGAATCGGAATGGCGCCTTTACAGATACACCAATTCAATGCTACTTGAGCAACAGTGCGTTCATATCTAGCAGCCATCTCCTTCAATGTGTCCAAAAGTGGAACAAGGAGTTTCATATCGATATCACCAAAGTTTCGTCCAGCTACAGATAAAGAAATCGAATCAACGTTACGCCAGTGCTGCGTTGAGTAGCCGGCATCTGCAATTTTTTTTGTACCTGGTGGTGGATTCTCACTCGAGTACTTTCCAGTCAAACGACCCATTCCCAACGGTGAATATGCAATGACAGCGACTCCAAGTTTATGGCACTCTGCAATCAAACCAGATGTTTCTGGCAATCGTCGAAGGAGGGAGAATTCGATTTGGTTTGAAGCAAGTTGGATGCCGTGTTTCGATAAGGTTTTGTGGATGCGTTGGACTTCGGAGATTGAAAAGTTCGAGACGGCTACAGCTCTATTGAAAAGAATGATTTAAATTTTTTTGCTTTGATTTTCCGGCGAGATTTTGCATCGAGTGGCAATAAAATTGAGGGCTCATACCGGACGAGACCCAGCTTTACAGCTTCAGCGAGCGCTTCTCCAAGGACTTCCACTGGTCGTAAAGACACTGGACTGTGAAGAGAGAAAACATCGACATCAGAATCGGTCAGATCTCAATGCAGTTCTCATCCCAAGTTTTCTCACCCATGGATTTGATACAAGTCAATAGTCTTCATTTGAAGTCGTTCCAGAGTTGCACGGAGAGACGTGAGCAGACTGGAAGGATATGAAAGCTTCCATGGCAATGGTACGAATTTGCTTAAAGAAAGTGGACAGTTGGAACAAAAAAACGAATATTCGACATGCTTGACGGTTTGATACAAACCTTCCAACAACGATTCGATCATGTCCAAGTGTGTCTGATGACTCAGGAGCAGGAGTAGGATGCGCGACATGGTATTTCTGGATCAAATCACCAAGAAACTTTTCAGAGTCGCCTTCAGCATAAGCCTGTATTGGCGGATGAAGATTGGATCAGCGATACTTTAGCAAACACAAGAAAGATGCTCTAAAATACAATTGTACAGATATCTATTCAAAATTAAGTTGAATCGAGCAATCTCACCTCAGCAGTATCAAAGAAGACAGATTCAGGAAACTGGGCCAGACACTCGTCAAACGCATCTTGAATGGTAGTTTCTGTGAATGATGAATCGTAGGTGCCATATCCCCAATTAGAGGATCCCCAAGCCCATAATCCGATTCTGCGACAAGAGGGAGGATTGTTAGAGTTTAGTGACAAGGTATGGTCCCTCTGCGATTCTTGCATGAGTCAACAGGCATGCGAGCCCGTGAAATTTCAGAGTATTCAAAGTAAACTGATTGCTGAAATGCTGGCAATTGACTGGACATGAGCACGACATGTTGCACAGTTTGATGAGATACACACTCTCTGTCACAACGACGTGATCGAGCCGGTGGAAGCAGGTTCTTACCCAGCAGGAGGCACTGAGATCTTCTTTCCTAGGCTGGAAATTGCGATGTGGTTAATAAGACTAGGCTCAGTTGCATACGCACATGGACACCATAAGTGTCAAAACATCTTTCAGTTAGTCTGGCGTACCGAATAAGTGTGGAGCTAGTCGGCACAACGCCATCGGGGATTGCTACATCGTAGTACTCGACTTTGGTCGCCATTGCTCTATTGTCTGATTTCGGTTTGGTAAATTGTGACGGGATTTGCAACCTCATTACGACTGTGGAAGCTCGTGTGCTAGAGGTTGCTCTGGAGGAATATCGCTGGCGATATATAATGTCAGTAAAACGTTACAAATCGCACTTTCCTTTCTTGGCATAATGGCATGCCACCACCGTGATTTTAATGATTGCGTTTGGACAGTTAATACACGCTATTGGAACTTTTTCGATTGGGAAACCGTAACCTAATATTCAATACTACGAACGATGCATCATGTCCCGAATTATTTCCAACGGTCGAGTCGAGGACGGTTCCTCAGATGCCCTCCTCAAACCTCTCCTAAACCTTCCAGAGTGCAACATCTTTGGCTCTCCAATCGAAAACGCTGAATTCAGTGGTCATCTGGTTATTTCATTCTGAGGTGCCCTCGTCGCTCCCTGGTGGATGAGTGGAGGGTTTCATTGTTTCAAACCCCAATGATCTAGCAAACTGGTTTGCTTTCTTCCCTTTTCAAAATTTGTGCCGTTCAAATCTGTTGGGAAGCATCTTGCTTGATATGAAATCCAAATCCACTGGCAGCCTCTTTGGTTGTCACAGTTTGTAATTGACAGGTAACAACTTGGTGCCTTTATAAACGATCGAAGTAGTACGTCGTCTTTTTCTAGTCACAACCACGAGGAACTACTGGCTAGGCAAGCATAATGGAGAAAGGCACACTGAATATTTAATGTGGAATGCTAATTCCCCTTATTCCGACATCTCGCTGAACCGCTTTTTTTTGTGACTCATGAAGAGAATCAAGAACGATCGCTTGCAGCAGGAATGCTTATTTGGACGTGTTTGTTTGTATTGACTGCTTGCTGATGCCTTTTATCGCTTCAATAGGTTTCATCGTCAGAGAGAGCTTACTTACTACTCAACATCAATAAACCTCACACACATCTTTTATACACTGCAGCAAGCCAGAGAGGAGACCGTGCACTTGAAGCCAGAAGTAAGCGCATTACATAATGAATGTGTACTTCTATTCCAAGAAAGGGAGGATGTGGGTGTCGATGTCACAACCGTTATACGTGACGACTATTATGGTTTTTTTGGCTTCATCTGACCCCATCACTTTTTTTATTTCTAATTAGTGGAATCAGCTTGAAAAGCCTCTTAAATACACACGAAACGATTTTGGATGCTCTGTTTGACGCTGATAAGGTGTCTCGAAGCGATGTTTGCAATCTTTGTCTCGATCAAATGACGGTTGAGCTACGTGATTTGAAATTTAGTAAACGACCTGCAACGTCTCATAACAAGCCCGGTGATTCACCTGTGATCGCAAAATGAAGAATTTACATGTGCAGGTCGACGCCCGAAACGTGGTAAAAGGGTATGTATAAAGTATATAAATCCAAAAAATTAAAGAGGCAAATCGTCCCAACGATTAAAAAATCAAAGAAATGAGAAAATGCTTAAAAAAAACCACCAAAACATGAGGCAGTTCCAAAAAATTCAGCGCTTATGATGAGTATCTATGAGATCCAGAGTGCCGTTTATGCTGCAAGAGGCGGAGGACTTATCCGGTTTGCCGAAGCATGAACCGACAAATTATCCGCCAGATTCCATGGCCTATTGTGAATGATTTATTAGCTCGTGACGCAACATCATTCAGACGATGCTCACCATTCATTAGCCTCCCGTCGTGTTGGTTCTATAGGCTCATCAAAAGTAGACGATATCGTGTCGTCACTATCACCAAACTTGTTGTACGAAGCTCCAGCAGGTTTCTGCAAGCTCATAGATTGTGGAGGTTGTATAATAGCCACCACGCCATACAGGAAGCCCAAGCCAGATACGTCTAGATAGGATGATTTCAGAGGGTCACAAAGTCTTGCATGAAGTGCAATATCTTACAGTACACTCGTAAAACGACAGCCGCAACAGCTCCAATCAATCCTGGGTCATTCGGTGGATCAGATACTATGGCGCATGCTGCGATTCCCACCGTTCCTATTAGCAAACTTGCTATCAAAGAGGCGATAACGAATGCTCGCAGCGCCGGCTGATGTGTCAGATCAAGAGCCTCCTCCAGTGTTCTCCGTATTCTTAGGATAAGGTATAGCGACACTGAGCATATGGCAGCATCCACTATCAGACACCATGCCAGACTTATCAATTGGAAGTACTATTTCATAATGTTAGATTCTTGTGATAAAACTGAACTTTTTCTGTGGCAAACTTCACCAAAGCTGGATTCGTAAACGGTGTCATTGACGGTGCAGCATTCCCGACAATGGATGATATTCCACACGCGGCCACGAAAAGAGCGGTTACTATTTGAGTTGTGCGCTGCATCCACTCAGGAAAGTTAATCAATTGTGCCCGATTGAAGACCTAAACCACAAACGTTAAATCAGGCATCTTGGTTCAATTGTACATAGCCACGTGTCGCCTACTCCAAAACGTTCCATGTTGAGTATGACCCACACTACTGAGGCGATCTCTTCGAGAAGATCTGCAACGACCCACCACCAATTCAGGCCTTCTGTTGAAACATCCTTCAAACCAAGTACGAGCTGTATTAGAGCCGCGGCAGCGTTTAGTGCGAAACTATTAATAAAGAGTTTTAGTTCACATGGACGTGATCAAAGTCAGGTTAGCGTTCATTACACAGGTATAATCAATCGTTTTAGAAGGGACGGTGCAGTACGTATAGCGATGAGAGCGGTTACGGATGTAAGCAATAGCGATATGATTAGAGAAACAATCCTAGTGCCAATGACCGTTGCGGAAGCCATTGTAGCCTGGGTGGCTGATGGTTGTAAAGTTTGAAGGGAGGGTATTTGAGGGCTGAAGGTCTTTCAGACGTGATTTTAAAGGATGTATAGCATAGATACCGTACAGGGAAGCCTGCCTATGTATGGTGGTTTGAGTCAATTAAGAGTGAGCACCAGCAAAAAGTGCGACGGTCAGGAAAGCATTGTGAGGTAGGAAGCTTTTAAGGATGTACATACGGTTGACGAAAACCGACTTTGGCAGTATTTCACCTTGTAATCAGTCTGTTTGTCACCCAACGAGTCTCCAACGTGCTAGGTCGATGGAGGTTTTACAAGAATAAGGTCATGAGCATGATCTAAATACCATTTGCCAAATATTTCCCTTCGAGTTCTATGACTTATTGGACGCGACATTGGACATTGCCATAGTCCAGAATGTAGAGGTAGATGCGCGAGTGAATACGTCCTATGTGGCATGCTCGAACGACAACCACAACATCACTTTCGGAAGCATCGAGTCGGGTCAGATAAGTGAGCACATCGCTCATCTTCCTAATAACTGGCTAAGAACGTGTCATTGTCTAAAACGTGGGTAATTTTGGTTTTGAGTTGTTCAATTCAATATAGGTCGAAACATTTGCGATACTCCTTAAACCCATTACTATCAACAGATTTGGAGGAGCGAGACTGAAGAGTTCAACATATTGTTGCTCTAGGTACGTGACGATCCTTTGCGGATTCAAAACTATCATCACAAATCGGAGAAAACCCCTGATAATTACCACAACTGACAATGCTGGTGATTAGATTTACCAACAAGGAGGGCGGCTAGGAAGGAGACAACACCTAGACCACGCCCTGCTGGACACCAATGCGCTCCTTGGAGCAAGAACCTGATATGGAAGGCCGCCATCCTCATCATCAACGTTCAAATTCAGAGGAATCATTGCAAATGACCTGGGCACATACCCAAATTCTAGAGTTTGTCTCAAAGATAAACCATACCGTCTTACGAAGTCGGTGTGCTCTTCATACCAATCTGGACGGAAATGTCCTTGACGTGGAAGCGCTCAATGAGTGCACGGGATTCTGGCAGAACTCGGTGCCATTCAATATTGATATATTTACGGCAAAGAGGCGATTGATGGAGCGCTGGGTTATCTCGTTTGAACAATCTACAAGGTGTGTTTCATGGTTGGAGGGCAAAACCTTTGTGTGTGTCTCCCCGTCTCACCTGACTGTATGGTTTTACGCAGTGATAAGAAGATGTCGGTCTCAACTGATGTCACGGATTTGATACTCTTGGCTCAGTCGCTTTACTCTTACGTCCGTCTTTTGCCCTTGCAGAACGCCATATTGGAAGGCAATTTGAGTAAATCAGCACTACAATATTGGTGAGGGTTAGAGAAAGTATAATGATAATGAAAGAGCGATGATGGTCCTGACCTCATCAAGTATAATGATATATGCAAGGGTGATGATCGTTTCTGACGCCATCTCCTTTAACTAGTGTATCAACTGCAGATGGCCGCGTTCTGGCGCTGAGTACGAATGATGCACAAGAGTCTGGATCTTCGGGCTTCGATTTATCGGCAAAGCTCAAAGTCTTCAAGTTTCGATCAGCAAAGTTGGACTGTGGTCGCCTGAATCTTTCAGTGGTCTATGACTCGAATTTGGCCAACTTTGTAATACATAAAGAAGTCGACAAAAAGGAAGTGGAAAGGCAGCAGACGCAGGTCACTCCCACACCGCCGGTACCACAACAAAGGAGGCGGATGTCGATAGGAGGATCACCATTTCCATCACCGAAAATGACCCGAAAAGTATTGGCTCTAACCCATTTAAAGCACGACAAGTCAACAGATGCTAAACCAACAAATATAATCATAAACTCGAAAAACAGCATGCAGACACCGCCTGGATCCCCAAACAGTCGTGCTCGGCCTGTAGCAATACCTTCTCCATCACCAATTCAATCATCTGCATCTAGCCCGAACGATAACGCAGATGATTTGGACGCTGACGGTGTCAGCATAAGTCGTGGGCGCCATACAGTGCGGGATTCCGCCGATATAGCATCTCACAGTCGTAAAAGTGGGCATGGTCCTTTATATCTGGAGGTGAATCACTTACCACGTCCTCTCCAGATGGCTAAATCTGTCAGTGATGGTCCGCCAGTGAATCGCCGATTAAGTTTTGGCGGTCCAGGTCATGCTGAGCTCTTTGGAAGTCTTGTAGGGTCGTATGAAGAATCGATATTGTCTGGACGCATGTCAACTCTTCCCTCAAAGCCCATAATGTTCATCGCAGAGATTGGTGTCGTGGGATTTGGTAAATGTAAGCCGTCTCTACAGTGTCCGCCGCATATAAATGTGGAATTTCCAGCATACTTTTATGAAATGTATGGTGACTCTGCAATCGCCACACCCTATGTTGGCAGTATCGATTTGGAGTCAGCTATGGCAGTTATAGAAGGTGGTCAACGTAGCAAGACTCCAGGATATAGGCTACCTCCTAAAGGACAACTGCAAATTGTAAGTCCCCGCCAAGGTCGTTTGAGACATCTTTTACCGTCAACAAAAGAATCACGAAATCTGATTCTTTTTATTCAATTTTAGCTCATAAAGAATCCTTCGAAAACAACAGTCAAAGTTTATCTAGTTCCGTATGATTTGAGAGATATGCCTCCGGCTACGAAGACGTTCCTTCGACAAAAGTCGTATGCCATGTCTTCGAATAGTACTACACCAGTAGATGCAAGTGCATCTTCTTCATCATCGAAAGGATCGCATTCCATATCAAAAGTATCCCCAGCTCCTTCCACCACATTACCAGCATCACCAGCGTCGTCCACTGTGACATCACAATCATCTACCGCTTCGACTGCCACACCTGTAACCTCAACGCCGTCATCCACCCTATCATCATCGTCACAACAGCTACCACCACGAGTACCAACTGCTACATCTCTGATTGACAAGGACCGACTACGTTATGCCATACATCTTCAAATAATATCAACACCTCATAAACGAATATTATTGTCAAAGTCAATCCGAGTAGTCTTCTCCCCTAGGCAGCCAGAATCTGACGAGAAACTTCGAGTCGTGGTGGAAAATCCTGGAGAACCGAAATATCTCACAGTCGATTCAACTACAACGCCAGATTCTACCAACAGACGGCATAGTCACCATAGTTTTAGTAGCTTGATGGCAGCAGGTGTCTCTCCGAGTGATTATACAGTGTCGCCAGTACGACCTTCAGAGTTTAGCAGCTTCTTGACGCAAAGATACACAAATCATCATCAGAATCAACAATGGGACTCAAACAGCTGGCTCGATGACTCTGGTAGTATGAACAGGAACTCCATATTAGGTGGCAGTAGTCGGCTTCTTAGCAAACAGTAGGACGCTGATTTCAAGGATGTGAAGGGTCTGATGACGAAGAGTGTATGCAAGTTTTAAATTATATAAATATATATTTCACGTCACGCATTTCATAATTGAAAAGGCACTTCCATCCTGCCGAATGAGCTTCCGTTCTTGCGTTAAATTGCAGTTGGATATCGCGAGAACACGATGTCAGGAGAACATAATGCTCAGTGGGCAGAGCTCCAACGTCTCTGCGAGGCCTCAGAACACGAGAAATCTATCAAGCTCTGCGATACATGTATGCATGTTTCTTCACAAAGTAACGATAAACCAACTTAATTCACCAAACGTAATCCTTTTGCTAGTACTCAAGACTCTTCCTGGGGACATTGACGCATTACACGTGAAGCTCACCGCATTAATCCATCTGGATCGATTCCAAGATGCTCTCAACATCCTGAACGGCCTGTCATCAACATCATCAAACATTCGACAAAACTTTGTGTTTGAAGAAGCCTATTGTCTGTATCGCTCAGAGAAACTGGATGAATCTCTCAAGCTCATTGCTCGAGCATTAAAAGACACGGAATTGCTTGATGAGACACGTAATGCGTTGGGACGGTTGCAGTTTCAAGTGGTAAAAGCTAAATGATCGATTTTGGTTTGGTAAATTGATTTTGTCTAAAGTAATATCACTGTTTAGTTATATCGGACTGAAGATTATCGTGAGAGCTGGGATGTTTGCAAGGCGCTTGTGGATGAGCTTGATGAGGTGAGTGGTTGTGTGGCCAGCGCAATGTTCTAACTGGGGAGTATAAATCAAACACGTTCATACTAATAGGGTAGTCCGTACTCTACCGAACTGACTGCCAACTTGGCTGGAATTGAAGCTGCTGCTGCTCTATCAGGGATCAAGATGGATTTACAAGTACATCAACATGTTCTACATATCTCTTTTTTTCTCCTTACATTTTGCAATTGTAGAGTGTGGATCCAACTACGGTAGCGACTTACGAGATGGCATATAATTCGGCCTGCACAAAGATCGCCCATCATCGTCTGGATGAGGCACATTCTTTGTTGGAGCAAGCACGAAGTATAAACCACCGTCAACTTGAACGGCTTTAATTGGAGCTTATTCTTTTTGAAATAGGACTATGTCGAGATCTATTGATGGAAGATGAAAAGCCAGAAGAAGATATTGAACGAGAATTGGCCATCATCGTTGTACAATTAGCCTATGTTGCTCAACTTCAAGGACAGGTCTCTGAAGCGTTGGATTTGTATCAGGGAGTTCTCAAGTCAAAGTGAGTTGATTGCAATTGCACTGACTCAAGTTAAATTATGCTTACGAATCGAATTTTTTTCGCAGAGTTGGCGATACTGCCGTCACCGCCGTTGCATCAAACAACATGATGGCATTGAAGAAGGATCACGAATTGTTTGATTCTGCGAAACGATATCGTGCTGCTGCTACTGCAGGGCTAGACACCAAGCTTACGAGGCAGCAGAAGAAGGTTATTGCTGTGAATGGTGCCGTGTTGTCAATGTACATGCAGAAGGTAAGCAACGGTATGTTGTAAGCGACGGTAGCAATTTCTAAAGCTCTCAATCTGTAGCCCTCTACAGCTCGAGAGGTCGCAAAGGGGTTACTTGCCTCGTATCCACAAGATGAACAGATATATCTGGTGCTCGCTGGTATCGCTTTGCGAGAGAACAAGGCTGCGAGAGCCATAGAGGAGCTTCAGGTACTTTTTTGCATTGAGCGGGCTTAATGCTATTCCACGTCTAAACCATCGCTTTGACGTACCCAGGAATGCTCGTCCATCTCTACTGAATCTTTGACTATGCATCTCGCACTCGCCCAGTTATACATGTCGCAAAGGAATACTGCTTCTGCTGTTAATGTCATGGAACGATACCTTTCGAAAGCCAATGATTCAGAAAAGTACAAACCAGGCCTTGTCTCCTTTATGATTTGGTTGTATAGTCAGGTTGGAGGCTCCAGCCCTGAGAAGGGAATGCGTCTGTTGGAGCAAGCATCTGCGTTTTGGCCTTCTCTGGGGGTCAGTTTTGGTTCTCATTATCGAGAAACTAATGTTCATCACAAATTTTAAATTGCTTTTTTCCCTCCAATCACGTAGTCCGGCAATGTGTCGATAAGCCGACAGCTAGCTGCATTCAAACTCAAGTCCAATCGACCCAAAGAAGCAGCAGCAGACTTTGAAAAGCTTGTCAAGGCTGAGCCATCAGATATATCCTCTGTTGCTGGTCTCATAATGTCGTATTCTGAATTCAATCCTTCGCTCGCTGAAAAGTATCAATCATACCTGCCAAACGATGATGTAGTAGATGTGACTGAGATTGATGTTGACCAGCTTGAGACATCATTCACTATGGGCAAGCTGGGAGCAAAGAAACCAGCTGTGGTACTTGCTGAGGGACCGTGAGTGCTGCCCAATCAGTCAAGTTACGATATGGAAGTTTTTTTGTCGTGGCTTACATAGTCATCTCAATTCATTGTAGGGCTCCTGTCGTCAAGGAAAAGGAGAAGAAGAAACGCAAGAGGAAGATTCAGTTGCCCAAAAACTATGATCCTAATGTGGTTCCAGATCCAGGTATGCAGATGGGATTTGCACGGATTTGTTTGGCTCCATTGACATCTAACCACAATTCAACTAAACAGAAAGGTGGTTACCCAAACGTGAGCGTTCGGCATTCCAAAAGAAGGGAAAGAAGAAAGATCTCGCCAAAGGGTCTCAAGGTGCTGCAGCAGGTGCTGGAGGAGGAATTGGTGGAACTGGATCTGCTAGAATTGCTGGTTTGGTTTCAGAAAGTCCTGCTGCTACAGCAAAGGCCCCGACTCCTCTACCACAAACGCCTCCTCCAGAGAAGAAGAAGAAGGGTAAAAAACGATGATTGTCAAAAATTTGGAAGCAAATATAGCAAGCGTCAAATTGAGGTCTCTCAATTATTGGATTTGATTTCCAGGCGATTTCCAAAGGATTTCCACGACTTTTTCAGTTGATCAAGACTTTAGGAGCTAGGGGTAGATAAAGCGACGGATCCTGGAACAAGGCCTAATCCTGCCGAAACAAAGTAATGAGCCAAGAATGCTACAACACCAGCCAGCTGAAGAGATTGATACAAAAGGAATAATTTAGTATTTGTTGCGGGTGGTGCTGTCAGTGTATCAAAGGTTTGATTTACTTGCGACAACAGCACCCACGACGAGAGGTCCATATTGACGTATTGAGCGAAGAAACGTGGGAGTGATAACAGCATACAAGTCTTGGACACTATTGGGAGGGGATTTTGTCAAGGAAATCGGCACCTGTCAATCCCTGCGATCGTGGAAACTTACAATGTTTTGCTTGCATTGAAAAGCACTCGTCCCGAAGTTCCTAAATCCCGAGATTGAAGATGATTGTTTTTGGTTTGTTGACTCTAACATGAATTTGTTTTTGTTTAGCAGTTGGAATTTCATCTTTGATGTCTTGACATATTCGAATGTTTCTTGTAGTAAAGTTCAACGAAGCACAGGCCTTCATCTTCAGAAACCACAGCTATGTTACTTACGACGAGTTGACAAGAAATGAGCACTGCTGTCAATCTGGTATTTTGTCAGTTGTAGACCATATGGGTTGGAATCCGCACTGCATAGAGTTAGGAGATCATTGCTATGGCGAGTAGAGATACAAGTCTTGTGAACATCCTTTCTTCTTTGTGCTTTGGTGTTTTTCTGTTTGGACGAGGAGTAAACACGCAATAGCAGATTTAGGCTAAAACAGGATACGGAAACAAGGGTGAGTATCAGTGCTGGATTTCTTTGTGTAAGAAAAGGATATTAAGCACGCGTAATTGACCGAACGCATAAAGCCACTGTGCCCAAGATTAGTCTCAAAATCCAAATTTTTGCGCACAACACTGCTGCTGCTGTTTCATTGTGCGGGTGAAACGTAAAGACTCGACGTGATTTAAATATCATTTTAAGTGGATTAAATACGTGATACCACAAATGATTATTTGACATGTTTGGTTTACTCTTTAGAAAGTAGAAAGATTCGACTCACCAAGAACAATCATCACAGCCAAGAAACACAACACATTTTCCGGATAAAGTAAGCCGTGCCAAATCTTCGTCTCCAGGAGCATCAACGTCCCGTGCTTCTAGCGTTCGAGGAGCAGCATCTCGACAAACAACCAAATCTTGCAAGATTTCATTAAAACGGCCGGTGCATCAAAAACAATGCTACATCGTTGACCCTCCAGAGAAAAACATTGGGATATCTGGCAAGCTGCATCATTTCTGTATCTCTACCTTCTTCTCTCGCTGAATTGAATGGTGAATGGAGGGTTTCATTTTGTTTTTTCCAAGCTGGTGGACCAAAGATTGGCTACTTCCTTTAGAATTTTATGGCATATGATGGCATTCAACTGTCATGGCTTCCTCTATCCTTGAATGAACTGCGGTGGCAGTCTCGTTTCTCGGCACATTTCGTCTGGTGTTATGCGAGACAATGCTCCAGTAGATCTTTTCACACCAAGTGTCAACCTGAGAACGACCAAAAACGATCCGACAGCCGATATGAGAAGCGCAGGTGGTAACTTGTTCCCTTTGTTAAGGTTTTTGTCACGCTGGTTGTTTGAGGAGTTTGGAAATACGACGATGGTGGTGTAGGAACAATATCAAGAACAGTGGAAACGAACTGAGCAGATTGTTTTTCAGATCTTTGGCATTTTTAAGACGTGGTCTGTATCTTTTGCAAACTTCATCCTCACAACCCAACAAGTGAAGAATTCCAAAAAAAAACAATGTTGTCACAACCAAAAGGGACTACTGGTCTCGGCAAGCAGAATGAAGAAAGGTATATTGACACATATATAAACCCTTTGCAGCTATTCTGATTGTTTTGTCGTCTAGAACTCATGAAGAGAATCAAGAACGATCGCTTGTAGCAGGTATGCGTATTTTAGTGTATTATTGCTTTTGGGAGTTACTCATACTCTCATTGCTTCAAATAGGTTCGTGATCACCAAGAAGCTTGACTCAACATGAAACCTCTCACTTTACCGTTAAGCACGTCTTTCATACACTGCAGCACGTTACAGGGGCGACCGTACACTAAAAGCCAGTTGTAATTTAAGTATCCAAAACAATGTGAACTGCATTTCAAAAAGAAGAGAGGATATTATTCGATGTGACGATCATTCTCCATGACTGTGGATGACTTTCGTTTCATCACCTCGCGCCTTCCTTTGAATTTCAACATCAATAGTGGAATCAGCTCAAAGAGCTTCCGATATACACCAAAAACCAACAGGTACGCCAAATAGCATCATGCTAGAACTGCCTTGTCACGACCACTTGTCATCCGTCAGATGTCAACCCACCTTTTTTGCTCCGCAACCTCTCTCCTCTCATAGGGCGTGCACTACTCATCACACCTGAATTGGTCGAAGCAGAATAAGCTTATCCTGAAATCGACGATGATAGTACCATCTATGAGTATGTGACTGCCGAGACTGAACTTGACGAGGAAGAAGCTGCTGAACGTGAAGAAGAGCAACAAGAACAGCAATCTGGAGATGCTGGTGGTTGTACTAGTGGTGATCAAGCGTCGTATGAGAAGGGATCAGCAGCTCAAGAAGGGGGCAAAGTAAAGAGAGGGGTTGGTGCATGAGTGAGTGTGGCAAGGAGAGCAAGCAAGAGCGAGCAATGATTTGTTGATTATTTCTTCTTTTTTGGATAAATGTATAACGTTACAGTAGTCTATTTGACGCACGATTTGAAGCGACACGTCTACCCCAGCCAAGCAATCTGTTTGGAAGCTACTTGGTAAGCTGGTTCGGATTTGCGGTTAAGCGCCGTGACTTGATTTTGAAATCTCGTGGCCTGACGTTGTTGTTCTCGTAAATACGTGGTAAGAACGGCTTTTCGGGAGTTGTGGTGGTCCCTGCGTCCAAGTCCTCAGCACTCGACGAATAAATCAACCATTGCCCAGTTGATCAGCGCGTGGAGAAGAGTGCAAACAGCAAGAGAACTATCCGAATGTGCCGGATTTGGTCTGAAGAGGTTAATAGCATCAAGTTTCTGGGTGATAATTGATTGTGTGTGGCCAAGTTTCTCCCTTGTTTGTTTGTGACTTTGGTACAAGATCGCATCATCATCACTTGGAATTGTGGCAACCGTCATATATCAGGCAAGTCCCCAAATGATGCATCTATGAATTTCCTCGTCATCCGTTTCGACTTCGAAAAACAGACCTGGTCGAAATCTGGAATTTCGCTTGAAGGTCGGTGTTGGGGTCCAATTTGTGGTGTGTACGTCTAACTTCCAACCGGCCAACTAACTGCCAATTTAAACAATATACAGAGCTTAACCTCCTTGCGTCTAAAATCTGGGGCCCTCTGCTCTGTACTCCCAAGGCAGTAACATCAACCGACAACTTGGCGAAACCTTCTCACCGACCATCACACCACCCACCATGGAAACCGATCTCGAGCTGCAAGATCGAATACGGAATCTTATCGAACTGAGTCGCTCCACACGTACCGTCGGTCACATTGCCTGTTTGATGTGTCGAGCTTCTAAACTTCGCTGTGATGCTATTCGACCTGTAAGTCTTGTTGCCGATTGTGTGCTGCTTTTGTGGATGATGAAGCATCATTTACATTCGTTCTGACTGTTGTAGGCATGCTCAACATGTATGCGTAAAGAACGAGTATGTGAATACCCAGAACGTGCTAAACGACTACAACCAAAGGGTTCAAAGGACAAGTACGTGTCAGCTTCAATCAGATCCGTATATGCATAGACTGATTCTTCACCTCCAACAGGTATACACGAGAACTCGAAGAACGATGCAAGGAAATGGAACAACGACTCGGCGACATCCTCTCCACACAGGAAGGCCCATTAGACACTGAAGGAAACCGCCGAGCGCCAACGACACACCGAATGTCACATACCCCTGGATCAGACAGCGACTCCTCAACCCCATCCTCGTCACCCTCACAATTCACATTCCCGTTCACAACCCTGATGCACCTCGCGTCAGTGGCCTACACCAATCTCGAATTACAACGGTTTTCATCGCCCTTCCATCCAAACTACCTAAAAATCCACGCACCAGAACCATCGTTTAGACGAGTGCTGCTCTCATGGGCTGCATATGGTGCTTTTCTAATAACGGATCCGATACCTGTGACTGTTGACGCTGAAGTCGTGCACATATCTCCAGAGCAGGCTAGACCGTTACTACGGGATATGGCCAAGAGGGCTTCACGGGTGTTTGAAGAACAGGGGACGTTGAGTTTGGATGATATTGAGGCTGCAATGTCGTCTACGTATCGATTTGCGTTGAATGGTGAGGTTATGCCTGCGTTTCGGATGGCTTCTATATGTAAGTTGGTGCATGAAATGAGATTAAAGCTCTCTAAATGACGGAAGATTCAATCTCTTGCTTTCTTCTCATTCTTTCAGGTATTCGTTTATGCCAATTCTTCAAACTGGATTCTGATCCTGAGGAGCTTCTCCAAAACCCATCGCTATTCGGCGACTTGAGGTGTACGCGTCCTGATGGTTCATGGTTTGATAAAGGTAGCTGAATTAATTCATAGCCAGAACAAATGACCCGTCAATCTATCCAAATGCTAACTTTCTTTGCCTTGAACAAAACTCAGAACGCAGAAGACGCATATGGTACAAATGCTTCGCCCTCGACCTACACGTCTCAATCGCTACAGGCAAACCAACCATGATTCCACCCGGCGGATTCACAACAAAGAAACCATGTACGGATTCGATATGGGAAGGTTACAATTACCCATACGGCAACGAACCACAAGACACGTTCCGAATCGAGGATACGGATCTGTCGTATGTCTGGTGGGACATATTACTGATATCAACACGGGCACAGGAATTACATCGGACTGCTTATCTAGAGGGTCAGCCATTGGCAGAGTGGTTTCCACCGTATATAGAATCTGTTAGGGAGATTGAGTGCCAGTTGAATATGTAAGAGCTTGTCTGTACACCTTGACTTCGAGCAAAGATTTTTTTGTTCTTTGATAAATGCTGATTTTTGCCCCTTGTAGAGTTGAACAACGGTTTCCAAGTTTCCTGAATCTAGTTGCTCTGCAGCATTTATATGATGCCAAGTCGGAGCCACCGTCAAGTTGGAGGGATTGTTTAATGGTCTTGACTCATGTGGATTTCATTAGGCTTGTTGCTCGTCAAAGAGCGTAAGTAATGCTTCACCTGGTCTATTTTCGTTTGCTTTATTCAGATTGAAACGACGCATTTAGACTTAACTCGCTCATTTTGCTATAGAACTCTGTTGGCACTCTCGAAAAACGAAGAAGAGTTACAAGAAGATGAAAGCTTTGCTACGAGTCAATTATCTGCTATGCGGATAGCTAAGGTACGTACTCTTGAGTTTCGAAGACAAAAGAATATGAATGCAAAACAAAAAACCATCCAGTTCCTGATGTCTCAATTCAAACTCTTTACCACAAAGGTTGCTGAACTAGGCGACCGCTTATCTGTCCGTCCCGGTGCCGTAGTCATCATACCGATAATGATGGCAGCCTTCCAACTCCTGTCGTCCTTCCGCTTCTATCCAGACGAAACCAAAGAACTGTTACGGCATATTCTTGTTGTTGCGAAAGATGCTGGGGCTTTATATGGGTATGTGTTGTGTGGTTCTCTCGCAAGTTTGTATCCTTTAAGATGATTGATTTGTTTTTCTTTGTTAGATACGCAAACACGTATATAAAGGACGTGTTTGATACGTCCTTGGCGGTGGTAGAACAGGATCCCGAGTTTTATCGGGAGGTGGAGAGACTAAGGACAGAGTCACCACAACCACAGTTGTCGAATTAAATTCGGTTAATGTACACAAAAAAAACTTGTATCAATGATTAATAGCCCATCGTTTGCACATATATTGAAGTCCGAAAGTCTCAGTAGGAAGCATGAGATCGTTTCCATCGCCTTTTTTGTATGTAGTCTTTGCGCACTTTGAACTCTTCACATCAGCACACACGAGAAACCAAAAGACACACCACTTATAAAAGGCAAAACTACATTTGTTGAAAAAAAACACACTACAGTATAAAAGCAATAAAATGAGTGGTGGGGTGAACTAACTAAAAAGCTTGCTCCCAAAAGAAGATCGCTCAAGAAAAAGGAGATATAGATTATAATGAGTGATTGTAAAAGTAGCCCTCTACACACAACCAACACAACCTCCCCAAATCATCCAGATGATAACAAAGATGACAACAAAATAACAAAGATTTCCCAACAAAAGAGTCCCGCCCAAAATAGTATGTTTTTGTGTGAATTGAGGATTTGGGTCTCTAGACTTCCACTCGCATGTTTGAAAATTCACCATATTCAAAACGGAATCTTTCCCTGAGCAAGTAGTGGGTGTTTAGCGGAGACTAAAAAAACGATCGTACATCGCATACAACGGACTTACGCTGCAGAGCTAGGAAGGACTTGAGAATCCTCTTCGTCCAAGAATTCCATATCATCATCTACCAACATGTCATCCTCACCCGGCTGGAGAGGAGCCAAGAAACTATGTAAAGGTATTATTACACCGTGTGTAAAGTTTCTTTTTTTTGATTGGAGAAAGGAAACATACCTGACTGCACGACATGAAAAGAAAATCATGCGCTTAAGTCGTCGGTTGAAGAAGAAGTAATAAAAGGACCAACTAGTGTAAAAGAGATGTAAGCACAAGAGCCAACCCCAAAAAAAAAGCAGGATAGCAATCTTCTTGATTGCTTCAACACCACCACAACCCACACCACACCACCACTAACTTACAGATTGCCTTCTTCAGCATCAGGTTCAATATCAGAGTCTGGATTGAACGAGTATATATCGCACTCGTTGGTTTTGACCACTTCATCAATAGCCGTCCAAATTTTATTTCCGACGGTTTTGGCGAATGTGTTGTCGTCATTACCAGTGTTATCGAACAAGAGTGAATTGACTTTGCTTGTCACAAAACTAATGGCCGGTATCTTGTTGAAGTATTCTGGTTTTACATCGCTGTGTAGAAAAGGAGAAAAAAATGGTTACTGGGGGGTTTTTGATAATGCAGTTATCATTCAAGTAGGACTCCGTCCATCAAATCCTACTCGTACAACCGCCAGTAAAACAGAACCACAACACTCACGTAAAATCATAATCAGGAAAAGCAGCGTTCAGCGTAGCCAACAGATAAAACAAGGTCTTTCTCGATGTAGCTTGCGACAATGGACCAAAAGGCGAACCAACCACTAGGGATGGCACAGAAGTAGCGATGGCTGCATCCATAGTAGGACCATAACTGGTATTATAGGATGACCCTAAAACCGCTCCTCCTTCGTCTTCATTCTCAGGACTCTGAGATGCTCCATTAAACTTGCTTTCGATTCGATGCTTTAGTTTCTTGTCGTCGTATGTGTTTTTGCCTATCATGGAATGATTAGAGGGTGCGGATTAGGGTGTCATTGATAACGAATGATAGGCAAATATCAAACCGATGTTTTTACCACTTCGGAAATGAGGTCACACTTACACGAATAAGCTTCAATCCTGCCAAATACTCTCGAGTCTCCCGTATCAACGCAAGACAAGGCAGTATTTAACTCTTCCAATGAGTCAACTTCCAAATACTTCATCTTTGCTATTATGTGATGATAAGTGTTTGTGGTTGTTGTGGTTGTGGTTAGGTTGGTGGGTGGTGGTCGTAATTTATATGTTGATGGTGATGATGTGTCGAATAAAATAAGATTTTGGATATATACGAATATGAGAGATCCCCTCTTCAAACGGCTGGGTGACGTTCGCGTTAGGGATGATTCTCAACAAACGTGTCGAGTTAGTAGTTGGTGATCTTTTTAGATACCGTTCGGTATGTTTCGAGACGGGTTCTTCGGCGGCTGCTGCGGTTGATTTATAAGTGTGGTATTCGGTATCTGCTGCTGCTGGTTGAAACTAGACTGCATGGGGTAATGCAGCGTGGTAAAGTGTGTTGTGCTGGTCTGGGATTGAATATGTGTGTTAGATTAGATGGTTGCGTTTGAAGGTAGGCCGGACTTACTCTCTATAAGACGATATGTCAAAAATGAAACCACCCTTATGTCCCAAATATCCTTTGGTTGTCTCTCTATGTGTGGTTGTTCGTCAAATCACACACGGCAAGTGTCTTCTGATGTCTTGGTTGTGATGAGAAGAAGACACTAGGTTTACGTATGGAATGATCGGATGGGAATGAATATAGGTCGAGTGCTGGTTGAATGATGGTGCTCTTTTCCTCCCTCTTGATATTGTAGAGCGTTCGTTGGGCAAGTGGATATTTTCGGACTGTTTTTTCTAGGAATGCGAGGTTGTTAAGGCAGTGTTCTAGAATAAGTGGAATGATCAATCCAGTGTCCTGTTATGATCTGATGTGTGTCCTCTTACCTTGGTTTGTAGTAAAAGTGGTTGTTGACTCTGATTTTGAGGGCAGTTGCAAGGTGAGAGGTGAGCACGTTTCGGGTGTGTGGTCGCTCTACGTCGATAAGCATCACGCATTAAGAAAAACGACGGAAACGAGGTATATACCAATTTTTGAACGCGTTACAACAGGCCATGGTTAATACGCCTCCCTTAAAACCGTGGTCAACCTTAGAAAGCATTCTTTTTTATGAAAAAAGTTGCCTATTTGCTATTTTGTGGTATTTGCTACAATAAACTTTCTCTTTTTTAATACTATTGTTATCGAAATTGCAGTTAGCTCATCCATCCAAATCACGAACAGCAACAATCAATAGGTCCAACACCAACTGTCCAAACACTTTGGACATACCTTGTAATCCTTGACATAGAGTGATTCAGTACCAGAGCCAGCAGCACTGCCAGCGTATTTGCCCAGTTGAGCTTCCGAGTTTGCTTTAGCTCGGACAAGGAGAGCAGCTTGAGCAGCAGCGACATTTTCCTTCTTACCAGCCCATACCTTCAAGACAGTAGCTTGCAAAGCACGACCATAAGAGAATGTCAATGACCAGGGACGACCAGGCATTGTGTTGATTGCATTTAAATGCAATGTAGCCTCTTCTTCAGATTGACCACCAGACAAGAAGGTGACTCCAGGAACAGCAGCAGGGACTGTTCGTCGAAGTACAGTGACAGTAGCATGGGCTATATCCTGAGGAGTATATTTGATTTTGCAGTCTTGACCAGGGCAGACCATGTTTGGTTTCAACAGAGAGCCTTCCAAGTAGATGTGGTGGTCTGCGAGCTTCTTGTAGCAAGCAGCCAATACGGATGTTGTAGCTTCTACGGCACGGTCCAAGTCGTGGTCACCGTCCATGAGGATTTCAGGTTCTACGATGGGGACTAGACCGTTTTGTTGACAGATGGCAGCATATCGAGCCAAGACATTTGCATTTTCGTCCATGGCTAATTGAGATGGACATCCGTTGCTGATTTTCAAGACAGATCGCCTACATGGATTGGATTTATATAAGAGACAATTGATTTTGACTTTGTAAAAACACTGCAAAACATCATTCTTGACAGGTGTCAAGCAACAAAGCAACAAGATTGTTTGTTATGGTTCAATGTAATGCCGTACATACCATTTAGCGAAACGAGCACCAGCAGCATAGTATTTAGCACAACGTTCAGCCAAACCATCCAATCCTTGAGTAGTGGTTTCACCATCAGTTCCTGGCAAGTCAACGGTACCCTACGTGAATGATGACAAGCATGTAAGTGAATGATCGCTTGTAGGAAGTAGTTTGATGGCATTGAAGACAAACCATAATCAACCCCACATTCAACAATCAACACATCCATATACCTTGTCAACCTTGATTCCGACAATGATACCTTGTTCTCGCAACAAGTCAGCGAATGGTTTTCCAGATTCGGTCTTTTGGAAGAGAGTTTCTTCAAAGAGGATGACACCACCCAAGTAGTTTGGTAGTTCACCTAATTGACACATGTGTGAGTGCTTATGACGTTTACACGGTTTGACACAGGAAGTGAATACACCAGACATTACCAGGGCCAGCGGTGAATAAGAGTTCACGGTAGGCTCTTCTGTTTTCCTCTACATTTTCGAGTTTGATGGGTGCGAATCTCTTTCCTGTAGGAGCAGTCGGGATGTCAATAATTTGCTGTTGTAGTTGTTTGAAGTTTGAAGAAGTAAAGTACCAATGGTTCCAGTAGATTCATCAGCAGCGAGAATGCCCTTTCCTGGAGCGACGATAGCCTTGGCAGTCTGATTTGCATAGAGGTGAATAGTATAGTTAGCAAACCTGTTCTGAGTCAAACCCAACCACATTTGACATTCAAGGCATAGTATATGACAGTACCTCAGCTAATTCCTTCTTGAACTTTTCGGGAGCAGCACTTGGAATAGGCATGTTCGGTTCTTGTTTATTATATATGCTTGATATGTGATGGGTTGAAGTGTGTTGTGATACTGGTTTTGCAATATTTTCACTAGACAACCAGCTACTTGAGTCTAGGTGCAATCACGCGACGCTCACCTTGAATGACGCGTATTATACTCGTATTAGATGATCGTGTTATAAGATGCTAGTCATGTCGGGTGAGTAGTAATGAGCCTAAGTAAACCAAATGATTCCTTGTTTTCCAAGCTGATCAAACATTCTCGTTGTGATAGAACATCAACCCATGTTGCATCTAGATCAACAGTATGCCCTCAATGATCAGGTATACCTGGACTTGCTTGAATTAAACGCGACATCAATCACATTGTATTTGACCAAACTCCCAGCTCATCCAATCCTTCCTTCTTTTCAAACAGCCTGGCACTGATCTACTGTGTACTCTCATTCAAGCTCATCCACTCGACATTAATGCTTGTCGTCGTACATACACTTCACTGCCCATCACCAAACTCATATCTTCAACCGTCATGAAAGCTTTGGCTTCCAGACTACGAGTACCACTAGATATACTCTCAGATGAGCCTGATCAGCGTATGTAGACTTGATGGTCAAGTCATTGCTCTCTCAACGTTGCTGATGATGCGCTCAATACATAGTGACAAAACGAGACACCTACCTGATCTTGGTCTCAGAAACTCTGCCCTTCTTAACTGAAATAGCTGCTGAAATATCTACAATATCACCAGATACTGAACTACAATTACTGGTCACGGCTGCTACATTCTTGGCCGACAAGGAACATAGAATATGGAGCTCACAACAGACTCATCAACTCGCTACACAACTACTACAATCACTATCTACAAATACACGGACGCTGGTTGCCAAACACTTGGTCAATATCCTCAGCATTCATGTCAAACCGTATTTTGCCCATCATCCAAACATTGACAAGCAGGAATTAAAACAACAGCCTAGAAATGGTGATTCAAAGGTTACAATGACTGACTTCTTCCAAGATCAGAAATGGAAGTCGGAATACCCTGAATCTCCATTCATTTTGGCGTGGTGTCTCTTACAAGTTCAAGTAAGGCAGCATACATTCGATGTGTTTCATCGTCACCTGGAGTTGATGCTCTGTTTTTCGTTCTCCTATTTACATCGACACGAATTAATAGCAACCAGAACTACAAAAAGTACAAGGCCTGGTAATCCCGACATTACTCACCCTCTTGGATGACTTTGATCCAAAATACAAGACATTGGGTGTCCAATTGACTCGTCATGTCATTATTGACAATACCGCTCCTTCTGAAATACGTGTTACGGGTCTTGGTGATGTCTTTTTCGATGTAGGATGCCGCCTTCATCGGTTTCGACCAAAAGAATCCTTTGACGAGTGATCATATTTCTTGAACGAAACCAACCACTGTGTTCTGTCTCAATAGGCTTTAATTACATGCTTGAGCTACCACTCAGATCCAGACTTGCTTGAAGAAGCTATATCGACTAGTCTGGATTTATCTAGTGTCATACAAGTGAAAGGAACTGAGGCTCTTCATGCAAGATATGAGCGTATTACTGATGTGTTTACTAAAGGGTTTCTGATGAGTATCGGTGGTAAAGTTAGAGTTATACAGGTAGGCACAAGCTTGAATCTGTGAAAACGACGATTCGATCATCTCTTTATTTTCTGCACTCTTTTTTGAGCACCAATTCTAATTCCCCCTCTTCCCTTTAATCAAGATTTACTTGCAAACAATACCGCTCTTGTTTGAAAAGATTGGAGTTTTGGGAGTTCAGTATCTCAAGGTAAAAAAGAAACGGCCAAGGCTATCTTGAAATGACAAGCGTCGGCATAACTCAAACCCACTCTGTTTTTCTTGATAGCAACTCTTAATATCATGTTGTGAAGTGCTAGCTTTACAATATTGTGAAGTTGATACTCGAACACTGGCTACTCAGGCCATCGCGTCCATCATCAATGTGGGTTGGCCTCGCATAGATGCTTATCGTGGGTCTATACTGAGTGCTATTGCGTCTGCGTGGAAGCATGAGGCATCTTCAGGTTTGTTTTGGCATTACGGCAGTCGGCCAGGTGCTTTTGTTGACCGAGATTTTTGGCTAGACAACGAAATGAAGGACGTGCTTGTTGCTTTGTGTACATTGTTGAAGAAAGCTTGTGGCCCTGAGTTTGAGGTAATTATGTTATGTCGATGATGGATTTTTTTGTTTTGAAACGAAACTCATTTCTTTCCCATTTTGACCCACACAGAACGATTTGAGATTCCTGCTTGAAATAGATGGCAATCTATTCACCAGTCTGGTAACTCCATCTCTCGGTGATTAAAAGGAAGAGTCCTGTTACTGGATGAGGCATGTGGTTTTATTCAATGTTGAAGTAGACTATAGAGTCATTGAGGAATAATGTATACTGTTGCATATTCAGTTTGTAGAGCATATTAAAAGTTCAGATTTGCATCCACATACAAGTCAATTGTGCAGGGTGTTGTGCAGCGTATTGTCGTTATTGTAGAGAATGTCGTGTTTCAGGTCATTGAAGTCCATACACGGTTATGTGAGGCGAATGGAACATCGTCTACCTGCAATCACTTGGCCTGGGTGTGCTGCTCGATTTTACGTGTGGTCAAACTACTCAAAACGCGAAAGAACATATGCGAGTCGCTTGGCGTTCGAAGTATCTGTCGGCGCTCGATTGAGATTTATGTAACATATAGCAGTACATTTCGATACATGTTTACACGACACGTGTGAAAACATCTCTGACTTGTTCCGGAAGACATTGAGGATGACATCAGCCATTCCAAACAAGTCAGTGCATTGGTTAAGACGGACTAGAGGACGATTTTCCGTGAAAGACGAGTGCACAGTAAAGCTGAAAACAGTTGACAAATGGGACATAGTACATCCATCGGCGAGGAAACGGGTATATGGAGCGCGGATTCCTTTCAGGGCTTACCTGAAGCCGCTTCAGCAGATAAGCAGGGAACAGCTCGGGTCGGTGTAGCCGGAGATATGCAGACTAATGAAGACACGTTTTGGCATAACTTAGATGAGGCTGGGTTTCCAAAAGACTCAGAGAGGGTTGTCTTGCTGAGAGAGTGGTTTAATGAGACATTACCAAGTGCGCCGGTGAAGCAGACATCCTTTTTGAGATTAGATGGTGACAGGTATGTTTCTACAATCGATGGTAGGTCTCGTGAGCGGTCTCTTTGTCGACATTACTCGAAACTTACTCAAAAATAATGTCTAGCTCTAGTTGCTCTGTACGACCGAGTATCAGACGGCGCACCTGTATACGTAAACGACTATGGCTCCTTTAATGGATGCAAGGTCGCGGTCACTGAGGTTCGAAAAAAAAGGGGCATCACATCACCACTCTACACTCAGTACAATGCTGATAGCGGTGGGTTGTACGAGTCTGTCTACTGGTTTAAAAATGAAGAGACACTCTGATCTCTTGTGTCGGGGTTGCCGTATTGACAGTATATGAAGCTTTGGATGGAGCGTTTTAGTGGGTTTGGCTTCTTGTTGGCTGTTTAATTCAAGATTGGAGGAATCAACGAAGAAGCGATGACGGAATTTCTGTGCTTGGCTTTGAGTGATTTAGAATAGTTATGACGCTTTGTGCTTTTCTTCTTAAGTAGAATATCGAGTATCATTAGAAACAGTTTCTTGTGTGAGACATGTACTAGTTCATCCAATCAAAAATGAAAAGAATCATATATAGTTTCAGTAGAACGAATCTATTGCGATGGGTTCTATTCTTAATGTCTGTGACTCAATCTTCTCGGATGCGTAGGCTGATTATTTGGAGAGTTGTTGTGGGGGCAAATCAAGTTGATTATTGCGGCAATCACACTACGCTCACCTTCAATTACGCTTGATATTAGCTTAAATACTGATCGTGTTATGAATTGCTAGTCATGTCGAGATGTGAGGTGGGTCGTAGTGAGAGCTAAATGATTCTGTGCTTTCGTAATTGATCAAACATCTTCTCATGTCAATAGAACATCAAGCCATATCGCATGTAGATCTACAATACTGATCAGGTATGCTAGTGATTGATTGAATGCCTTATGCCTTAAGATTTCTGAGCAATTTCTTGGAATAAAAGTATTATACTAGACTCAATTATGTCGTCGCGGGACCATTTGCAGCAAATGAGTTCTCGAAGTAGAGTAGACTATATATTATAATACTCGTTAGTCGCCTTTATAGATCTTCAGAATTGATCAAAACGGACGAGGTTCTCCATCACGTCGGTCAACAGGAACAAACCTCAGAAACTCCAGGTGCATTCAAGGCCGATCACGATGATAGAGAGGAATTAATTCAAAACACACAAGCCAATGACGAGCAAGATGACGACAAGCTACCTCTAGTCATTCCCTTGATTGTCAAGATGAGAATCAGTGGAGATTGCTTGGATCTTCGACTGGTATTGAAGCAGCCTTCAAAGAACAACAACCAACACCCTTTCCAATGGCCTCAAGCAATAGTAATAATAGTAGCAATGGTGCTTTAGCTAGTATTCCTGTTAGCAATCCATCTCGCGAAGAACCTATATGGGGTCTCAATGTCATGAAGGAGGCTGCATCAGATAAACCTATAGAATCAACACCTAATCCAGACTCTACCGCTGTCAAATCAACTCCCATGACAGAAGACGAACGAGGCATCGCTGCACCGATATCAGAAGCATGTGGTGGAACCGCTTCCAATACGATCATAACCTCATTACCAATACTCGCTGAAAATGGCAGTGCCGGGCTTGGCTGACCTAGAAGACGAGACAGACAAGTATAGTATAGACACGATGTAGCTCTTCGTCCTGAGGAACCAACTCTCGACGAATACAACAAGGTACCTGTAGATCACTTAGGTGCTACGTGGTATTGGCTGGAAGGAAGGGGAAAGATTGGGTAAACCCAAGACAGTCGTTGCACCTATACTATCAGCTAGACGGCCGGCCTTGCTGAGATTAGGTGCCAAACCTCCGCCGATGATAGAAAACAAGACAGATAAGAAGAGAATACCAAAGCCCAATGTGTATAAACCTGAAGTAAGATTCTTTTGGTTGATTGCCTTGGATGAGACCACGTTCATACTCATTACATTCTTTTTTTAGATGGCAGTTGATACTCCTCCACCACCGGCATTGCCTAGAAGGAATTGATCAGGACCCTGACTCGATTTTAGATTTCAGGATTGATGACAAAGTAGTCTGTAAAGCTGGAAAGAATGAGGGTGATATCGGCTACAAAATAGAAAAGGAGGATAGTAGCGGTGAATTGCAATCCAAAGTAGATTTGAATAATGGTGATGTAAGTTATGGAGCTTCTCCTTCGCACTCACTGAGTCTTTCATTTTGCTTACGTTGGTCCACACGTCTACGTCTCTTAGGTCGTCAAAGCATACTCGGACGAAGTGAAACTCTACTCCAAATCCACTAAAGGAGCGTCTGATTATCGGGATTCACCTTCTAAACAACATCAAAATCGAGTCTTCCAACCAAAGGTTGGTTGAGGCCACATATTTGCCTAGTTTGTATCCAAAGAAATAATACAAGTCATCGTCTTGATTCGGCGTCCGTGGATTTCCCATCTCTGTTCTTTTCAATGTAGACGACAAGTTAATCACTCGGAGGTGGCTAAACATCTCGATCAATCTTGCACAGTGGCTTCAAGACGTGATACCAGGTCAAGGTGCTATTGTAAAGACTTCTCGTGGAGATATAGTAGATCATATCGTAGATAAACACGTGGAAACCTATGTGCCATCAGCTGGGAAGGCTGTCGTAGACCATGATATCGAAATCAATGTCTGTAGAAACAGAGATCGCGTGGGTGTGTCTTGTATTGAACTTACGCCGCAGAAGTTACATACACTTTGGCCTTTGGCTAACTCACCATCTAGAACTAATCATGTCACATGCACAGTACGTTCTGAATCTGACGGACCTGCAGTATATTAGCATACAGGAATCCGTTGCTGATTTGCTGTGATCGGCAGAATGTATTTCTCGTCACTTTTGGGCAAGGGCAAGCCATCTTTGAACAACAGACTCAATGCTCAACCGATCGCTCCGAATGAAGGAACACCCCTTTCATGTCCATAACTATACTGTGTAGTCGGTGGTATCTGATTCTTAGCATGTCGTGTGTTGGTCTACAAGATTACATGTCCAGATTTGCTTGCGATGAAACAAGATGCCAACTGCCGCATACACGAGCAACACCCAAACCCCAGCTCCGCCACTTGTATTGGTACCAAGAAACTCGCTGGATGATTTGACTGCTCGTTTTGGATGTTCTCTTTGCCTTTTGGTATGAACACCAGTATTGCACCAAGACAGCTCCCTCATCGCAGGCTGAATGCAGGCAAGACAACTGGTTGCAGACTTACGCTGTAGTTCAGCATACAGGCAGTAATCATACCATTGTGGCGGCCATTGGTAATTTCAGAGCGGCCACATTTCGGTCCTTGCCAAAGGGTGTCGAGCCCAAACTGACGACGTTGTTCAGTCGTTGATACTACAAGATGACGATAAGGCAGGAACCAAGAAATCACCGGTCGCCTTGAACTCAACTTTTGACTCTTCGAGTGTGCCACCAGCCTTCTACAGCGCTGTTTGAATCGGTGTGTCCTCGGCAGTCATCCGATTCAACCAAGACAAGTTTCGTGAGTATGTCTACCGTGGCGTAACGGTGTAGCTCTTCTTTATATGCCGGATACGAACGAACTCAATCTTTGAAGAGATCGAGGTCAGTTTGCACCTTCGCTGACAC